AGCCTTATGCCTGGCGGTAAATAAATACCCCAAATGCCATTCTGGTCAGTCTTACTATTATGGGTGTGATTTTATTATATAGATTATAGAGCAAGGTGAGAACAAGCAGAATGCAGTATCTGAAACATGTTCATATTCTTGGAGAAAGTACTTAATATATAAATGTGCAAAGCATTTTTGCATTATTTCTATGGAGCTATATCATATAGTAAATAAACCACTCTGTGGAAACAGACCATTTTTCAGTTTGGAAGTGATTAGATGTCATTAGAGAAAGATTCAGTTCATTCATTAATCAATATTTGTTGAATGTTTATTATGTGTAAGGTATTATGCTGGGTATATTTGGAGCATAAGATACATATTTATGTGTATTATATATATAAATTACATATAACTGTATAAAAAACTGTTTCTGTTCTCACAGAGTTTACATTCTAATGGGAAGGTATAATGATAATATAAATCAGTCCTGTTAAGTGCCAGAAGGGGTACATTTGCCATGGTACCTGTGCGGTTTGAGATACTTAGCTCACCTCTCATAGGTTTAATATAGTTTATCCACTAAAAAATCCAGCTGTTTTACATAACTCTGGTTCACTTTCCCCAAACACATAGATTCTTATGAGTGGAATTTTAGAGAACAATGTTTTGTAACAAAAGCACCTGATGTCATCCTCCTCCTAATCACCTAGGTCATCTAGGGACACGATTCCCGACCTAGTGTGAATCAGGGCTTATTAAAACATGGGTCCCTGAGTTCCATCCCCAGTGTCTCTGATTCAGAGACTGGGCTGGGCCTGAGAATTTGCATGCTGCTGGCATGGGGATCACACTTCCAGAACCATCACTCCAAGATTATCTTTGAATCTCCCCTATTGCTTATCTTTCACATCTACACTGACACCAAGGCTCATCCTTACATGTCCCCTGTCTTTCCTTTCCACTCCCATCCCCTTGACTCTTGTTTTTTTTTTTCTCTTGGAAGGATGCACAGAGAAGTTCTGCTTTGCTGTGACAGGATAATTTGTGTTATTTTTGTTTCTTCTCTAATTCTCTTGTATTCAAATATGTCTTTAACTGTTGGTTTCATTCCTCACAACTTTTATAAAACTACGGTATTGTGAGTTTGAAAGCTCCTAGAAGAGACGAAA